AGAGAGAGAGAGAGAGAGAGAGAGAGAGAGAGAGAGAGAGAGAGAGAGAGAGAGAGAGAGGCGGTGTGCGCCGTGCGGCCGGTCATGAGGTCGCCGATGGGAAATGTAACGGGCAGTGCGAAGTAGGCGGAGAGAAAGGCCAGCGGAGACAGACGGCCGCCTCGACGACAACGAGTGGCGGGAATGTTTAAAACAAGCGCGCGGCGTGCGCGAGGCTGGCGTGGTGGAGCACTTACAGAGCGATGTTCTTTACCTCCCTCCGGCGACAGCGCGGCGCTGCACCGCACTGTCTGACCGGGGATTAAATATGAAGGGAAGCGGGAGTGCTGCTCCGCCTGATGATGCTTTGCCTGCTCCGGGAGCGGCCAGGAGTATTGCAGTGTGCGCTGTGCGCGAGCGGGAATCCCTCCCCGGGTCGAGCTCCCTTCACTCTCGTGACGGAGACATCGACACCGCCGTCTTCTGCGGGTACCACCGCAGCCGCACGATGTGCGGAGACAATGGCACCTGCACGTCTGTGGGACTTAGTGTGTGTACAGTGGATGGAACTGACATTTATTTACCGAGAGGACCCGCAGAAATACCACCTTTCCCCCTCTTGTTGCCCAACGACTTGCGGGCGTCTCTCTGCGACTGCATGCATGTCGGTTGGTGAACTATTTACGGATCTGCGGGGGAGGTGGAAGTGCAGCAGTGAACTTCGCTTTCTCCTTTACCGTAGCGGCCCAGGCGGGGCCCGTCAGCCCCGCCGCGCTCCGCGCGCTCCGCCCTGCAGCTGGCTAGAAGCGCCCCGACTGGGCGCCCCACCTTTGACAGCAATCTCATAGTCTAATTACTTCATTATCGCGAGACTTATTCGCTGATTGCTGACATTCGGGGTGGGGGAGGGGGGATGTAACTACATCAGGCGAGCCAGATTCGGAGAGAGAGAAGAACGGCAGAGCGCCTCTCACGATTTCCCGATTTCCCAATCAGATTTGCTTTTACAACTCTCTCTCTCTCTCTCTCTCTCCCTCCCTCCCTCTCTCTCTCTCTCTCTCTCTCTCTCTCTCTCTCTCTCTCTCAGCACTTAACTCTGCTCAGCCCTCTCTGTCTCTAGCTCTCCTAAATCGTTTGCAGGTCGGTAAAACTGTTGTCCTCTCTCCGGTCCAGGACGTCCCCGTGAGCACACCGAGCTGTGGGCTAGCCCCTCCCACCCTCACCCGTATACCCTGGATTCCTTTTGTTCTTTTTTCCTTCGGACCGCTGCGTCGCCTGGAATAGATTGCAGGGCCATTGTCCAAGCCCGCCTGCCCGGCAAGATTCTAACGATAGTCGTTGCAGCCGCCGAGCAGCAGCCCCCCAGCCACCGCACGACGCGCTCTGCGGCGCAAAACGACCGCATCGAAACATCGATTCCGATAAGCTGAGGGTAACGACATCGCCAGCGCTTCGAGCTCTCGCCTGAGCGTATGAAGTGGGTAGTAGTACTGAACAAAACCACCATCCACTCAGCCCCGGAAAACATCTTAGCTTATCCGGGACGCAGCATAGAAAGCGGCGCTGGGGCGTAGGCGGCGTCGGGGTAGGGAGGCTGCCTACCAGCTGGGACGCCGCCGGGACGCCGCCGGGACGCCGCCGGGACGCCGAGCGACGCCCGCTCCTTTGTTTGTGTACCAACAACTGTGGTCGCCTGAACGGGGTGCGGGTCGGTGTGGCAACGACGCTCGACGCCGCCGCGAGGCAGCCCAGCGTCGCGGAGCCGGCAACGCCGCCCTCTGCCACCTGCGGGAGCCGGAGAAGGGGAGGGAGAGGGCGCTCCCCCCCCCCCGCCCCCGCCACGCTGCTGGACAAGGCTCCTGGAGCCGCTCCAGCCCTGCTCCAGGCCTGCTCCAGGCCTGCTCCAGGAGGCGAGCGCCAGCCGTGGTGGCCACGGGCCGCAAAGCGAGGCGCAAAGGGCCGAGTACGGCCAAAAGGTTTTATTCCGCGATGATTTGCTCCAGCGGCTGGAGTCCAGTCGCGACGCCCCTGAGGTTCTTTATCCCCTGTCAGCCTGCCGAGCCGAGCCGAGCCCAGCCCAGCCGAGTCCGTGCCGGTCCCGGGCGCACAGGCCCGAGCCGAGCCGAGTCCGTCCCGCTCGCGGAGTGGGAGGACACGCGTGCGCTGAGGCAGTGGCGCTGACGCACCTCGGCGGGCGGCCCGCAGCGGCGCAGCGTAGCGCAGTCAACACACTACTGCGCTGGTAATTTTCCCCCGTCGAAATACGAACGACGAAGAAAAGAAGAACAGGGCCAGCAGATAGAACTTGCTGGTTCCAGCGGGGGGGGGAGGGGGCGATAGTGTGCCTTCCCTATCCCAACAACAGAGAAACGACAGAAGCGGTGCAGGCGGCTTTTGTCGCAACAGCACAATGATAATGATACTCTTTAACTCCGCGGCGTCACGGGTCCGAATCCCGCCGGCCGCCAACCGCTGCAAGTGTGTGAAGGACTTGATGCGGGTCATTTTGAAAAGGTGATGGTATATCCTTCAGGAGCCAGCCGGGGCGCCGCTCCGCGCTGCCCACCACCACCTACGGGGCCCGCGGGCCGCGAGGCGCTCGCCCGCAGGACGTCAACACGCATACGTGACTTGGCGCTCGTGAGCGCGCTATGCGGCGCTTTGCGTTGGCCACACAAGGCTCAGGCCACGCAAACAACTCCGCCGTCTCTCTCTCGCGGGCGCGCTGCAAGAGTGACGAGGACGGCTGCACGGCGCCGCTGTAGCAGGCCGTGCACATCTCGGTGACGGCCAGGAAGGGTGGTTCGCACAGCCTGCGACACACCACCCCTGTTGTCGTCGTCGTCACGTTTTCAACGGCCATATTTTTTTTCGACGGCTTCGTCGTCCCCTAAAGCTGGCACATGGTGACGTCAACTTGGACAGAGCGCTCGCCGGGGGTGTGTAGTACGGGGGTGGCGGCCGGTGGAGGGGGATTGTGCGTAGGAAGTGCGTCACCGCCTCCGCGCACCCCCCGGGCCGTGTGGCCGTCCGGGGGTGGCCGTCCGGGGGTGGGCGCGGCGGGCGCAGCTCACTGAGGTGGCTGCACCGCAGACTAGCGATAGCGACCGCTGCTGATCTCTCCGAGAGGCGTAAGCAGCGCCAGGTGGCTTAATCGCGGGGGGCTTAAGCCGAGACGCGAATTCACGGTACACACGGCGGAAACTTCGCGCGGAGAATTGAGTTTTTCACTCGATTCGAATCGTGAGGAGGCCCTCCGAGCAAAGTGCATCCGAGGTCTCCCGTTCTTTAAATGGACAATTTTATTTAGTCAAAGCAAGAAAACCCATAGATAGCAGTAGTAATGTGTTTTTCGAGTCGGTGTGCAGCAGCGCGCTCCACTGCCTCAGCGCACGGCCTGCCTCGGCGCGGCCCCGCCAGGCTCCGCTAGCGCTCCGCCGCGGCCCAGCACGGCCCGCTGGGCCCGGTGGAGGGGGGCCGGGCGAGCGTTGCCATTGGCTGGCCGCCGCAGCCATCTTTGGTGCGGCTCCCGAGGCTGGCCCCGTGCGGCCCGAGCCCAGCCCGAGTGAGCTAGCGCCGCAGACAGACAAAGGAGGCAGGAGCGTGCGGACGTGTCCGTGAGTGTGTGCGTGAGAGTGTCGCCCTGGACCGGGGACGGGAGAGGAGAGAAGAGCAGAAGAGAAGTGAGAAGGAAGGGGGGCCAGAAAACAGTGTGATACCTCTAGTCGTGCGTGCGTCAACCGTCGAGTGATTTTGTGTGAATGTGCATCAGTCCAGCAACATGAGGCTCGAAATCCATTCCGCTGTCAACTTCCTGGTGCAGCTGCTCCGGCTGCACCACAACAGCTTGAGCGAATCCCAGCTCGAGATGTTCAAGGGCTCGCTCAGCGAGCTGCTGTCCCACCGGTACCGCTACCACTGGTTCCCCGACAGGCCGCACCGAGGCTCCGCCTACCGGTGCCTGAGAATCAACGGCTCCATGGACCCCGTCATCGCCGAGGCCGGGGACGCCGTCGGGCTGCCAGGCTCGTACCTGCACCGCCTGTTCCCCTCCGAGCTCACCATGTGGATCGACCCGGCCGAGGTGTCGTACCGGATCGGTGAGAACGGCTCGATCTGCGTGCTCTACGAGGACGCCCGAAGCGAGCCCACGGCCATCGTCACCCTTCCCCACGAGCCGGAGCTGCTCATGGAGCGGGTGGGCAACAAGGCGCTGCCAGTGAGGCCGATCCAGCACGGCATGCACGTGCCCCACCAAACTGTGCAGCAGAAGTACGACCTGAGCACGTACGCCTCCAGCTGAACCCTCTACCCCCATTTTGTCCCGCGTCCTGTGATCTCATTTAACTCATTCCCATTGATGTGGAACATTTTATTGAATGGCCATAGCACAACAAAGTTTGTTTTGTTTTTGTGTTTTGTTCTCTTCTGTCTCTCGCTTAAAAGGAGGAGTTTTGAGTTTTATTTTTCTTTCGCGTTTCGTTTTGACAGAGCTAAGTTTTGTTTTGCGGGACGGTCATTGTGGAGCTAAATTTTCAAAAAAAGGAGAGGTTGCGGAGAGAGAATTCAAAGGCATGGACAGGCCCTAAAAGGTATTTTAACACCGTAGAGATGTATTTGGAACTTTGTAATAATTAACTTAACTGTGTCAGTTATATTTATGGTGATAATAATTTTAAAAGTGTATGGTTCAGAATCACACATCAAACGAAGCAAATTTATACATGCATACCTAGCATTTCCCATATATGTGTAGTGGTAGCTCTTTTTCAAAATTTATTTGCCTTCATTTTTTTTTTCATCTTAATATTCTGTTCTGTGTGACTTGGTGTATTTGGTTTCGACATCTTGCTGCAGTCTGCGTCCACTGCTGTGGCAGTTAAGATTGTCTGTGACCTTCCATTGCCTGCCTGCTGGATAAAAACGTAAAGTCCCATGAAGTACAAAACAATACGTAGTTCATGGTTGATATAATTGATCGGGATTCATCGCGGAGAGGCGCATCTGACGTTTCCATCATAAACTCCACTGAAAGACTGCCTCGCCGTTCTCAAGGCTGCAACAACAACTTCAATCTAATGCGTGTACGCAGCCCGGAGGGTAGGCCAAGCCTCGGTGACGTCATCTCCACGTTTCGACGCCGCGATGACGCCAGCGTGTTGCCTATCCCTCGGGGCAGTGCGGGGGGGCAGTCTCAAGGTAACGGTTCTTTTCTACGAGTGTCGTTGAAAAAGTCCATGTGCTGTTCGGTTGGAGCTCAAAATTGCATTGCAGTGTGTATGTGATTGTATTATTGTTTGAATCTGTGTAGCAACGTGTCAGCTAACGATCTCGTCTCCAAAAAACTTATTTATTTATTCCGTGTGTAAGGGACAGTGTGATTCTTGTGCGTATCCTAAGAGGGTTTCGCTGCATTGTCTCCTGATCAGTTATTGATACAATAAGAAAACTAGCGTAGATGAGAAATCATACCTTGAAGCGATAGCCGGTACTTTCAAGTACTGATTGGGGGGTTAACTCTCGTTCTTTGCACTATGTGCTGTTGACTGTGTTAAGTTGTATACAACTACTCTAAGAGAGCTTAATCTCTTTCATCAAGTACTCATCTTGTCAAAACCTGTACAGAAATTGGAAATTATTATTTATCGAAAAATGAAATCACAGAAAGCTTTATCTTATATCTCTATTCGAAGCAAAATTGAAATCTATTAGTATTGACTGTGTTCAAAACGCCAGAATGAACTTTACCAAATGTCAATTTGTACATAAATTATTTAATTGATTCAGATTGATCTATGGTAGTTTTAAATACATTTATTTGATCAACACCTTGCATGTCAAAGATTGCCCCATATATTTATTCATAGTGGTATGACTTTTCTCTAGTGAGTGGTTTTCAATCGTTGATTTGTTGTGTATTTTATATTCATCGGCGAAAAATCTCTCTGGAGTGTCACGGTAGTGCAATTTTATGAGTCTCTTGAGTTAGCGAACTTCTTGTGATTTTTGGTTGATTAGGAATGGGTGGACGAAAACGATACCTGGTCTGTTCGAAGAATGGCATATTTCTTCGTCGGAAAGTAGCGTGCAGCGCCATAACCACCGTAATGTAACCATAACATTGTGATAGCAGGCATTCTGCGCCTACCTTACTTTGAAGCCTCCTCGACGTTGGGCCAAAAGTATTTTAAGCAAGCGAGTTTAAAGCTCGCTCCCAGTGCAGACGACCTTTTCTGTCTGAACGGGAGCGAGGCGCGAGCTGTTTCTTTTAATTGTGATCAATCGCTGACCAGTCAAAAAACGGGCACAGCGAGTCGAGGTTCCGTCATTGTGATCTGATCCCACCCAGAATTGTACAGTTTATGTGGCGTAGGGCGGAGTCAGGGTAGGTGCAGACCAAAAATTGTATAGATTGTAAAGATTCTCTCGAAAATTGTGATGTTGCAGACCAGGGTAAGAGGGAGCACGAGGCAGCATATGGTATTAACTGTACTTATTATCAGGCCGATAATGTAAATGAACTTCGACGTATGCAGTGTGACCTGACCTGACTGCCTGCCTGCCTACCTGCCATACACGATCGAACTCCTTAGCATGGCATAAAAACATTATTCTATCGAGATAGAGACTGCAGTAGGTTTATATTAAAACTCTTCAGGTAAATGGTACAAAGCTGGCGACAGCAGTCTGTGATGTTTTGATTGCAGTATTTAATATAAGTCCACTGGAAGTAGGTAACTACATAATTATAGTTTCATTCATGCCTATGTTCATTCGTGTAAGTTTGCTTCCAGTGATTTTCAATTATATACTAAATTTAAAAAAAAATTGAAAAT